CCCCCTTTATTTACTGTTAAGAAGGTGTAGTATTAATTGCTTTCTATTTTTAATTTTCCTTCCTACATTTTCCAGGCATCCCTCCTTTGAGGGATGTGCACCCCGGCACCAATCCAGCTTTCAAAACAAAAGCAGGAACGCCTCCAATGACCTTTAGGAGGATGAGCATAGGGTTTGTTTGCTCATTTCAACGGGACAAAGAGAGAGATTTCAATAAAAGGATCTACCCACACCGGCCGTCAACCCAGCCACCTTTTGTCCGGAGCGCAGCCCGATGCCGTGCCGTTGGCTGGCACCACGCAACGCCCCGGCAACCCAAGAGTGCCCAGGGTCTCCCCTTTCCCATTGTTTTGGGAAGGTTTCGGGAGACTCCGCAGGCTGCATTTCCCTTGGTCCCCAGCCCAAAGGTCGCTGCTGAGCCCCAGTGTGGGGAAGGGGCTCTCCCTGCAAGACACTGGCTGCAGCCTGGACTCCTCCTCTCTTCTCCCCTTTCCCGGCATATCACTTCTCCTCCAAGCTCACTCCCACGGGTTTTTGGGCCACTAGCTCCCAGGAATGGTCCGTGTGACTTCTTCCCTTTGGCAAACAGCGGTGCACATCCGAATGCGTGGGGCTGGGGGGGGCGTTCACGCATCCCCAGGGTGGTAGAACGGGGTTTCTGCAACCTGAGCTTTGCTGGTGACTCCCTCCTCAGCTCCACATGTGATGCCCCACCATGCCAGGACAGGATCAGGCCCTCTAAACCCTCTCAAAAACGGCCTGCCCATGCCTGCTACCTTCAGGGGTACCCCTTGCAGGTCCTTGGTGCCTGCAGCATGGTGCAAAAGAGTGAGATGCTGAACCCTCCTGAGCCCTCTCCATCCTTCGGTTTCCTGGCACGAGGAGGGCACCGGCCGAGGTGGTACCAGCAGAAACCTCACTCACTCCCAGGGCTGGCACACCAAGGGTCGAGGAGAAGTCCTTTGCACCTCCTGTGACCATTTTGGTTTTGCCCTCTTAAGTTCAGTGCTTTAATTTCCTACAGAGATAGGAAATTACCCCCGAGCTGTGACCAGGTCGCCACCAAGCCTCCAGCCCACCTCTGCAAGACCTGGTCTCCAGCATCTCCTGAAGCTGGAACAAGCTCCAGCACCTGCAATAAATCAGACGGGCTTTCATGGAGACGATTTTCAGACTGTGTTAAAAGGTGGTACTTTTCTTCTCCCCTCCATCCCCAGGGCTGGGAGGAGAAACCAGATGTTGGAGGGCTTTCCGGAAAGGCAGGCTCTTGAGATGTCACATGTGAGCCATATGCATCGGCATCCGTCCTCTCTTCCCTCCAGCAGCTCCGGGGATGGGCAGCATCCCCGCACACAACACCTGCACTGGTGCCTTTACTTCTGCTGGGTTTTCAAGCCTCCCCCCCAAAGGTCTTAAGAAAGCAGGGATACTTTTGAGCCCCCCTTCCCCAGCAGCTCCTGATCCAGTTGCATGAGAGGCAGGGAGCTAGGATGGGTTGTTTGCTCCTGAATCAGACCCTCAGTGCAAAAATGCTATGGGAGGGCAGAAAGGAAAGAAGGAAGGACAGCTTGGAGGCTGTCAACGGGAAGAGACGAGACGGGAGCATGCACAGCTTGTCTGGGGAGATATGACTCCTCTTCCTCACCTTCCCCTCTTGAGGAAAGCCAACCCATACTCTTGAAGCCTTGCCCTAACTTCATGCCAGTTTTGCAGCCCTCGCAGCTCTGCGTGAAGCAGAAGCCCCAAAGGACAGTCAGCTTCGTCGCGGGGCGAGATCAGGACTTTTGGAGACACATTTGTTGGAAGCAGCAGCTTGGCACTCGAATTGCTGGCAGCAGCTATGACCTGCGAGATAGCATCTCTGCTGTTGGCTTCGCCCCGTGCCGCCGAGCGCTGCTACAAGATTCGCCTGTTTTAGGGTTCCCGATCAATATTGGATATGTTCAGGAAACGGGATCTCTCTCTCTCAAAAAAAAAAAAAGACAGGACCCTCCTTCCCCCTTCCCATACACACACAAGCGGCGACATCGGGCTCAGATATCGCCACAATAAATCACAAGCGCCTTATCGAGTCCGCCTGTCTATTGCCCGAGAAGTTGTCCCATATACAAATCACAAGCCCAGATAAAAAAAAAAAAACAGCCTGCCAAAATAAATATTCCTTTCAACTCTTATCCCATTCGTTACATGAGCAAGTGTTTCTTCCTCAAGAAGGAAGATTTTAATGCACCGAGAGCTTATGCCGCTGCAAACCAGTGCAGTTCATGCCACGCAAAGAGACTGCAGAGAAATCCCCCAAAACCCCCCCACGGTTCAAGTTTTGAAAACTCCTTTTCTGTGTGCTTGTCGAGATCCTTTCCATCAGCATCACGCCGAACATACGTTACCCTCTCCTCGGTCAGAGCTCGGCGTGGGAGAAGGAAGGAGTGAGGGGACTTTGCAGGGTATTTGCTTACAAGGTGCCTCCACGGCATTCGGGGACTTGGCTGGAGCCCGATCCTGCCTGCAGGCGGAGGCAGGGGTTGTTGATGCTTGCTCCTGCCTACAGCCGCAGCCAGCGTTTGTTAATGCTTTCAGTGATTGCATTTGGAAAAAATCAAGCGGTTAACCAGAGGAGGGGGGAAAAAGTTTCAGGAATCAAAATCCAGAGTGTTTTCAATTATGCACGTCTGTTAGGACCGGAGAACAAATACAATCCCAACCCAAACACAAACCAAGCAGCTTTGGAAAAAACCATCGGTTGTAAATACACAGTAACCTCTTCGAGCAAGAAAGAAATTTGCTTTAAGGCCACAAAAAATAGAAAGCAAACGTGGAAGGACAGCAGAAAACGAGTTATTCCTAGACAGGTCAGCTATGCGGGCATGCTGCTTCCTTAGCATCCCCTTAGAAAAAAAACCACAGGCACGACAGCGCTGACACCCAGAGCAAAAGCCAACACGTGCGCGGGGTGGAGGTGAGCATTGGGAAAGGTGGCAACCTACCTGGAAGAAACCGGGCGGGATGGGGCCCCCAGGCATCCCGTCGTTCGGGGGAATGTTTCCAAGCACGGGACTCGGGGCGGCAGCTGCGCTCTGCGGGGAACAAAACCAGGACAAACATGGTGGGTTTGAGTCAGAGTTAAGAAAAAAACACATTAAATCCCGTCTCTCCTGCCACATCACACTGAGTCAACCAGCCTGTTACCTCCGGAGCCCCGAGCATCCCTCCGCATGCCCCAAGCATCTTCCCCCCGACAGGGGAACAAACAGAGGATGCTCGCAGACGGAGGGGCAGCAGCCTCTGCGATTCGCCCACGGAGAAGATGGCCATGCAAAAACCGGGGATAATTCTGGGGCTTATTTATTCATTTACCCAGGCATTTTGTCTCATTAATCCACGGAGGAGCCTCATCCAACGTGTCACTTCAGGCAGAAACTGTTTCAAGGCTTTTTAAATGATTCTCTTACCCAACCCACCCAGCATGCTCACTGGTTCAGTTCTGTCCCCCAAAAAAGATGCCTCCCTGACCTCACCAGCATGCCAAGGTTTTATTCTGAATTTCCAAATTTGCTGCACCCCATCTGCGGGGTAACACTCCCCCTCATGCCTCCCCAGGACAAGCCACCTCAGCACCTCCAGCCCCGAAAAGGAGGGATGGGGGGGGACACAGGGTACCCAGACACCCGCCTTGCTCCTGCTCAGCATCTCTATTCCTGTTTACTTTCTTGCTGCGCTGCAGAGAACCAGCGTGATGGGAGGCTCCTACCCAGAAGGAAAACATAAGAAAAAGGTCTTTCC